ATGTTACATGGCTTAAGAAATAACTGTGTTTTTACATCTTACATAGTATCAAACTAAGCATAATGCATTATAACGTAATGTCGAAGTGTTTAGTTGTGTGTGCAACTAACAATAGTCACAAATAAAAATGCCATTTTTATAATTGGGACATTCCTCATGCCACCACTCTTGGCATTTACAGCAATGGATCCATTCTTCTGTTGGATGGTTACAATATTCCTCTTCACAAGCAGGACATCTTATAACACCATCCTTTGAAATGATGCAACTGATTTCATAGACTTAAGCCTACAGGAACTTAGTTTGAGTTTTTTACTCCCTTTTAAGCTTCACGGGTTTCTCTTCTCTGTTTTCTTAAAGTTTCCTGTTCTTCCTTCTGCTTTTCCCTTTGTTCTAACATTTCTTGGATGGGTGTGCTTGTAAGAATGCTTGAGCTCAATTTTTTGCTTTTTCTTTTTTTTTTCTCACATTGTGTTGCTATAGGCAATGGTTTGAAATAAAAAAAATACTAACAGGCTTCTTTAGTGCATCGTAATCAGCATTTTCCGTAAGTTCTGGTTTTTCTGGAGGATTTACATGTTGGTTTTCTACTACCAGGTTCTGAGGATTAGCACTATTTTTCTCAGTTTCATCACTAACAACATCATGGTCAGTAGCTTTTAAAGCAGCAAAATTATGTTCGTTAAACACAAGAAAATTATGAGTCTCAATCCCACATTTTTTTAAACCCTTTAACGGCATTTCCAACTATAGCAGCGCTGAAGTAAGCGGTGCTCAAACGCTCACCAATATTTTTGTCTATGATAGTTTGTCCTGGATGAGTGACCATAAAGTTGTTAGCGAATGACAAAAATGTCTTCCTCTGGTCGCTCCCTTTCGAACGACACATTTCCCGATCCGATTCACCCCTTAGCCCCAGAAGAGATAGAAGCGTTACAGGATATAATAGATTAGACGACATAATTAGTTTAATAAACTCTGAAACACGGAGCAAGATAACGAGCTCGTCTTCTTGCCCTGAACTGCCTGTTTAAAAATATTAGTTTCCATTTCCATGAAGGAAGTCGATTTTTTGACACTTATTCGTGGTAGTATTTAAAATAAGTTACTGATAAATATTAAAGATAAATGATATGTGTGTGTGTATTGCCTGAATCTGTAGCAGAGCTTATTTACACATGCATAAAAGTTTTATCGGGGCAGCGGTAAGCAATCAAAGCTTCACAACTGACACAAAAATGGTGATTTCAGCTTCTCTATACTATTGTTTAACGAATGGCTAATAGGAGAGTCTGTAGTGTTTGGCTGATCTTGCTACCTAGCGGAAAACGGAAAAATTAAAACATTCGCTATCTTGCCCCGGTCTCCCCTAGCTTTATATTAAAATACATGGAATGCTTGCGATATAGTAAAAAGTGCCTCCCCATGCCTGTCTCTCAAATGATCAAAATCTTCCATTCCATCCACAGGACAAAATAGAACTGGAGTATGTTTGGTTCCGTTCGGAAACGAACCAGGGACCTTTAGCGTGTTAAGCTAATGTGATAACCAATACACTAAGGAACCGACGATGCGGGAAAGCCGGAATAGTTTTTATACTTCCTCCGTAATTACGGCGAGTCGATTATCTCAAGCTTAAACATTTACTTTGATGTCTTAACTTGACCTTTTATTGGAGATCGTATTCATGTTGACAATAACACAAAACACGACTCAAAATACTTATCTTGATAATATGTACTGTTTATAATTAAAGTCGTATTGTGTGTGTGTAGCTTTAGCTTCAAACTACATTATTGAATTCAATACTTGGTATGGGGGGGGGCGATGAAAATCATGATTGAAAACTGGGTCATTTTCTGCAAATGTTGAAAGTTTGAGAAGCTCTGCCATAGAACATTGGGTCGTAAAAAGCGTTTAGTCGGAGTAATTCGCAAAAACAGTTATGAAGGATGTTATGTCAAATGGAATGAAAAGAGGCAATAAGAAATACATTAATTAGACGTAAAGCATTTTTATAAAATACGAACAATGCATCACAGCTAGAAGTCAGAAATGCAACGACAAGTGATGATCACAGGAATTGCCGACACTAACAGACGATGGATTGTTTCTCGAACGCTTTCAAACACACTCAGTATGCTGGTGATGTCTGCTAAACCCACGACGAGATCCCTGGCGTGAGTTCATCTATCGTAGCCACCGACGTCTTAGAAGACATGCCACCGAAGACATGCCATACCGAAGACATGCCATACCGAAGACATGCCATACCCAAGACATGCCATGCCCAAGACATGCCATGCCGAAAACAAGCCATGCCGAAGACATCTAAATGATTGAGGTCTGAAGAGCGTGGAGGCCAAGCTACATGTCTGTAATGTTTAATCCACCTCCCGGAATATGTAACAGGAAGGTGGTTATGTACCTCAATCGAAAAATATGCTTTTGCTCCATTGTGCATGAAACACACGTGGTAGTGCGCTGTGATTGGTCCTCCCCCCTGCAGCAACTCTGGGGGGACATGCTGTCGCAAAATGGTATTTTGTTCCATTGAGGCATTCGGGTAGAATATGCAAATCAATTGTATAGTTTGGGGTCGGCAACCTATGACACGCGTGTCACATTTCACACGCGGTACCATACTGAGAAGTTGATAAATTTCTGATGGACCTTATTTGAAAAACATCTTCAGAATTATGACGTCTACGGAATTACGAAAAAACATGAAATATGACCAACTCTAAAGATAAATTTAGCGCTGTTTTGTAAATTATTGAATGTCTTTTCCAGAGAGATTTAATTGTTTCAAGACTGAGAAAATTGCACTTACTCTACTTTCCTCTTTTGGTTCTAAATATTCAAGTAAAAAAAAAAAAAACTCTTCCTCATATGAAAAATATTTCGAATCCGCAAAGAAATCGTTTAACAACTGAGTGTAATGCAGTGGTTCTCAAACTTTCTATACTTGCGACCCAATGTTCAATCCTATAATTTTCATCGCTCCCCCCCTCCTCCATACAATAACAATGTATTGAATTCGATAATAATTTAACTACGCTTAAAAATGCATGACATATGTAGAATTTAAAATGTTTGTTGAATAAATAGTTGTATTTTATGCTGTTCATTTATTACTTTTTTTTATGTTAAGAAATATATTTAAATGACGCAAAATTTATAATAAAACAAACATATACTATTGAACTCTATTGTGAAACTCTGCATGCATTATCTCGGGAATCGAATTGTTTAAAAAGGTGTTCTGCTGTGTGGCACGCTGAATCCTATTGGTAGATTGCTTTGGTAGGCCACGGCTAAGAGGTTGCCGATCCCTGGTCTAGCTCATTGTCCTACCGACGGCTGCAATTATCGCGATTTTCACCAATTAAAGCGGCCGCGTAGCCAAGTAGTCAAGGTATCGGATCAAGGCTGGCGTGTCGTGAGTTCGAGCCTAGTACCAACTAAAGACCCACCAAGTAGGGGATGCACATTAAATCTGTCGAGAGCTCGAACGTCCTCTCGTTGGTGTGGTAGTTAGGAGAGGGGGGTGCCAGAGCTCAGGTGTCATCCTCGTCACTTGACCATAGTTCTAAATGACGAGATCCGTCACCAAAAGCCCTCGTGTGGCTGAACAGTGCGACGTTAATATTCACTTCACCGACTGAATGTGGTTTATGACAGCGTGTTCTATGGTGATTTGTCATCCCTGTGCTGCCTACTATCACCCCTTTGAAGATGTCTGTCGAATTCGGCAACACCCTGTATATTTAATATGGATTTAGTTTGATTAAATATTTTTTCGGATATGAACAAAAATACACAAAAATATTGGGCCAGGAAATTTTTCATTTTTTTTTTCTCTATTAAACATATTTATGAAAACTACCTTGAAATAGATTACAAAAGAAAACCTCCTCTGGAAGTGAACTGAATATATTAACTATAAGTGGAAACAAGTTTCAATAACAACAAAAACTGAATTACATTTAAACTCGAATTATGCTAATAACTTATAATAATTTTATATATAAAATTTTGGTAATGTAGAGGTCCATGTGAGTATCGCGCGAGTGTTTTCATAGAAAGAATTTCCAGCTAAGTATCAAATATAGAAAATCATTGACAAATTAATGCAGCATTTCTCTAACTGTGGGGAGCACCCCCCTTGGGGGCCGTGACAACTCTGCGAGGGGGGCGCGAGCATATTGAAAAGTTGAAAACAAAATTTTATTTTATTTAAATTTGTTTACTTAACTCCAGTAAATTAATAAATACATTCTGACACATAATAAAAAATAAAATACATAATGTATTTTATAATTTATT